GAGAGCATGCGTGTGGGAAAGGCAGAGAGGGAGGGAGACACAGAATCGGAAGCAGGCCCCAGGCTCTGAGCTGTCAGCACAGAGCCCATTGCAGGGCTCAAACTCATGGATCATGATATCATGACCTGAGCTGAAGTAGGACGTTTCACTGACAGAGCCATCCAGGCGCCCCTGGTCTCCATCATTCTTTTTTTTTTTTTTTTAATTTTTTTTTTAATCTTTATTTTTGAGAAAGAGAGAGAGAGACAGAGTGTGAGTGGGGGAGGAACAGAGAGAGGGAGACACAGAATCCGAAGCAGGCTTCAGGCTCCAAGCTGTCAGCACAGAGCCCGACGCGGGGCTCGAACCCACAAACTGTGAGAGTATGACCTGAGCCGAAGTCAGACGCTTAACCGACTGAGCCACTCAGGCACCCCTCTCCATCATTCTTAATGATAAAAGCAGGGGCTTGAGCTGACAGGGCAGGGAGGGATGCTGACTTCGAATTCACATTGTGTAGAAGGCACCCCAGACCTCCTAGGTCATTAAACATCAACAAGCCATTGATGTGATTTACTGACTCCATGATATAGGGATGGGGAGCTAACCAAGAGACACTGTGGGTACAGGTAAGGTCCAGGACCCCGATGAGGTCATGTATTTCTGGTGGGAGGGATGGAAAGGATGAAGTTATGCTGGAACCATTTGAGAAGGATGAGTCAGGTCTCAGTGGGTGGTGGATACCTTGTCCTATGTGAAGCAGCCAGGCCATTTGAGAATCTCTGTATCTTTCCTGACATTTGTCAGCCATCTCTAGGTTTTAACCAGTGCTCCTCTTTTTGTTGTTGTTTTTTAATGTTTATTTATTTTGAGAGAGAGAGAATGTGCACACATGAGCAGGGAAGTGGGAGGGAGAGAATGAGAATCCCAACCAGGCTCCATGCTTAGCATGGAGTCCGACTTGGGGCTCAATCCCACAAACTGTGAGATCATGGCCTGAGCCGAAATCAAGAGTCGGACGCTTAATTGACTGAGCCACCAAGGTGTCCCATGTGCTCCTCTTCCCAAATATGAAGCTTATGTTATGGTTTTTATGTCACAGGCCCACTTAGTGTTCCATATTTTCCAGACCCTCATGTTTGTTAATGCATACAACTGATTTGTACTTTTGTTCTTCTGCATTGTTTCAAAGCCCACTGTTGCGTATTCACAAGGGCACACATTAACAGTAATCACTATGGTATTCAGTGTGGCTCACATCCTTGTGTGATTGACTGTTATCCAGGCTTATTTTTGTTGTTGTTGTTAATTTTTTTTAGTGTTTATTTTTGAGAGACAAAGACACAGCGTGAGAGGGGGAAGGGCAGAGAAAGGGGGAGACACAGAATTGGAAGCAGGCTCCAGGTTTTGAGCTGTCAGCACAGAGCTGGATGCGGAGCTCTAACTCACAAGCCGTGAGATCATGACCTGAACCAAAGTTGGATGCTTAACTGACTGAGCCACCCAGACACCCCTATCCAGGCTTATTATAAATACTGAAGTGTAGTTCTTAATTTGCAAGCATAATCCAGAAATGTAGTAATAGGTTGATTTCTGAGGTTGTCTTTCTTCCAGAAATCTGAAAATTCCAATGACTCTTTTCTGAAAAAAATTATGAATTAAGACTTCGGTCTTCTAGAAGTTCTCATCATGATTATCCTCATTGGACAGCTGAAAAAACATTGGCATGAAAGTAACAACTTTCTCTATAACTTAGGTGTTTCATTTACCTCCACAATGTTTATTTATTTTTGAGGGAAAGAGAGTGAGGGGGTAGGTGCAAAGAGAGAAGGGGACAGAGAATCCCAAGCAGACTCTGCACTGACAGCAGCGAGCTCCATGTGGGGTTCGAACTCATGAACCATGAAGTCATGACCTGAGCTAAAGTCAGATGGCCAATCGACGGAGCCACCCAGGTGCCCCCTCCACAGAGGGTTATTTTAAGAGGGTTTAGATAGGAGCACCTGGGTGTCTCCATCAGTTAAGCGTCTGACTTTGGCTCAGGTCACAATCTCGTGGCTTGTGGGTTCGAGCCCTGCATCTGAACCCCGCATCTGAGCTCTGTGTCTGAGCCCTGCATCAGGCTCTGTGCTTACGGCTCAGAGCCTGGACCCTGCTTTAGATTCTGTGTCTCCCTCTCTCTCTGCTCCTCCCCTGCTTGCACTCTGTCTCCCTCTCTCAAAAATAAGCAGACAATAAAAAAAATGTTGAAGTGAATTAAAAAAAAATTAAGAGGGTTAAGATATATCTGAATGGTCACTAAGAATTTCTGATGGATTTGAAACCTGACCTGCTTAAAGGATTGAATAATCCTAGTTGAATTCTGGCCTATCCAGGTGACCTTGAGAAAGAACTGACAGTTCTTATTTGTGTCAGTCCCGGGACGTTCACCAAGGGGCAAAGGCAAGGTGGCTCAGGGCCCGATGTCCACTATTTGTGGCAAAGCCACTCAGAGATGCTGCCTTGCAGATACGAGGCCCGCCCCGTCACCTGTGTCCTGTGACAACAGCATTAAGAGAAAAGATGTTTCTCTCCCATCTCCAAGACAAAGTGAGGGATTGAATTACGCGGGCCCTTTGCCTTGGCCTCAGGCAGGTATATCTGCACTATCACCCGTGTACTGTAGCCATGTCTGACTCCCCATTTCCTGTGCAGGTCGTAAACTAGCCATGGCGCTCCCACATACTGCATCAGCCCAAGTATATAGTGCCCAAGTACTATAGCACTGCTTGATCAAATCAAGTAGACACAGATCCTATGATGAGATTTCTGTGGTCAGTTGACACCCTCCCTTTTCCTGTACCAACCAGGAGTGATGTTGCCAACAGCCGAAATCTGGTGGAAGTGAGAACTGGGGAATGTTTGTTGGCAGGGCCACTTCCTACAGTTGTACCCTGAACAAGACTCCCAACTGAGGGGGTGAGTTGGGGCTGAAACTCAGTCTGGGCTCCATCTTGCCCAACCTTGCATTTAACCACTGGGCAGTTTTCTCCAAGATGAAGAGGCACCTTTTCTAATGCACTTAAAGACACCTTGTGGGCAAGAGGTTGTCTAAAGAAATTGCTACACAGGCCCAAAATGGGTCACATATGAGGCTGCTCATGGCAGCATTGTTTTGGGTGCTAGAAAGTTATAGGCACTGGGGGTGCCCATTACTGGAGTATTCAGCAGTCAGGGATGATGGACTGGATGTGCACATAGCAATGTGGATAGGTCTTAAAAACAAAGTGTGGAGTGGAAACAATAAGAGTGAGATCTGTAATACAATGCTATTGTGTAAATTAAAAGACATGCAAACCAGTCATCAACACACATCCACAAGAACACATACAAGCCAAAAATATATAATTAAATGTATTAGAATGGTTCCTAAAAGAGTGGACTTGTCTGGACCAATTAAGGTAATGTGCCATGAACTGAAAAGTGCAATTAATTTAGCACTCTACACCTGAGGCCTAATAAGTTTTAAAAAATTAGGTGCCCTGGGCCTTGCCATTTAATGCATTCCTCACCCCAGCTATTGACCACCAGCATGGCTAGATCAGCATGATCACCGCTTTTTAATAATCTCATTGACATGGGGCGCCTGGGTGGCGCAGTCGGTTAAGCGTCCGACTTCAGCCAGGTCACGATCTCGCGGTCCGTGAGTTCGAGCCCCGCGTCGGGCTCTGGGCTGATGGCTCAGAGCCTGGAGCCTGTTTCCGATTCTGTGTCTTCCTCTCTCTCTGCCCCTCCCCTGTTCATGCTCTGTCTCTCTCTGTCCCAAAAATAAAATAAACGTTGAAAAAAAAAAAAAATAAAAAAAAAAAAAAATAATCTCATTGACAGAGACTTATATCTGGACTTGTGGGAGCTTCATTATAACATAGCTGTCCTTATCAAACTCAGGTTTGAGTTTGCTATCTCCTGGTCCTTAAAAATCCTTGGAAGTTAACTTGCCTTATCTGTATTATTTTATTTTTCTTGTAGTCATAAATAGAAATGAAAGCATTTACTTCCCCAGGGATTTTTTTTTTTTTTAAAAGTAGGCTTCTTGTCCAGCATGGCACCCAACAGGGGTCTTGAACTCACAACCTTGAGATCAAGGCCTGAACTGAGATCAAGTGTCAGATGCTTAACCAACTGAGCCACCCCGGCACCCGATTCCCTAGCAGTTTAATCAATCTATAAAAGCTTTGTTAATGAAGAATAGTGACTACAAAGAAGAAAAAAAAAAACCCTGAATTCTGTTTGGCCTGGTTTCCACTTATTGCATTCGGCCAAGGCTTGCAGCAGATGGGTCAAAATGGGCCTATCGTCATTGTGACACAGTGTATAAGTTTCTTTCAGTGTATAAGTTTCTTTCAAGATTTATCTGGAACATTCTAAATCAATGTAATCAAAAAGTACCTGATGGGGGCACCTGGGTGGCTCAGTCAGTTAAGCATCTGACTTCTGCTCAGGACATGATCTCACAGCTTGTGGGTTTGAGCCCCACATCACTCACACTCTGTCTCTCTCTCTCAAAAAATAAACATTAAAAAAAAATTTTTTTTAAAGTACCTAATGCATAAAACTTGCACCATTTAACAAATATATGAGTAACTCCAGCACCATTTTTGAGATAGTTCTTGGTCCACTCTGTGTAGCTTAAACAAAACAAAACAAAACAAAACAAAACAAAACAAAACAAAAAGACCTAATACTCTTCAAAGAGGCATAAAGAAAGTTCCCTTTCAGTAGGTATCTGGTAAATGTTAAGTTAGATTGAATGCCCTTTTGCTATCCATTAAGGGACATCTCTTGCCCCTGTGGTATCTTACATGTATAAGAGAAGGTACCTCTTCTTCCCAGCAACACAGCCCCACAGTCAGGCACAAGTGTAGCAAGTGGAGCTGGATCTCAGCCTAGTAACCTCATTGGTTATTAAGGGTATAATCAACACAGCTGTAGGACGTGGCCCTGCACACAAATAAGTTCCCCGCCTTTCTCTCTTCCACTAGGTTTCCATGATTTGCAACTTTATTCTGGTTGGTGTTGGAAAGGCAGGCTTGAATGACCATCCTAGTCCCAAGTAGAGCAACAGTATCTGCCATCCCACATGCTCTTCTGGAACTTTGCCTTTGCCTCTGTAAAGCTGGAGTCTGATTCTACTCTCTTTGAGTCTGGGTAAGCTTTGGACTTGCTTGCCACCAACACAACACAACACAACACAACACAACACAACATGAGTGACGATGTAATTTCTGAGGTTAGGTTATAAGAAGTGATATAGCATCCACCTTGTTGACTGGAACACTTGAACTTGGAGCCCTAAGCTGCTGTGCAAGAAATCTGACTATCCTGAGACTACCAAGCTGCAAGAAAGCCATACCACATGGTGAGGCTGTATGTAGGGCCTGTGGTCACAAGTCCTAGTTTTTGAGTGCTCGAGACTCAGACACCAGACCTGTGAGTAAACAAACTTTAGATGCTTCTAGCTCCCAGTTTTGAAATCATCACCGCACTCTGAATCTCCTCAGCTCAGGCCCCAGATACCTTGGAGCAAAGAGCAACCATCTTTACTGTGCTGTTTCTGAATTTCTGGCACATGGAATCCACAAGCACCATAAATTGGTTTATTTTATTGTTTTATGTTACACAGCAATAGTAACTAAAATACCTATTATCTTTGATAACACCAAGAAGGAGAATAAAAAAAAAGGAGAGGAAACTTATAAAATTTAAAATTAAAAATTTAAATACATTTAAATTTAAATTTAATTTAAATTTAAAATTAAAAAATTATAAACTACAGGATACAGACAAAATATATCAACAAATACAAGTGACAGATTAGATTAAACCACGACAGAAAGACACTTGTGAAAATCAGGGCAATTTGACCTCTGACTGGATACTAGATGATATTTAAAAAATTATTGTTAATTTTAAAGATGTGATAAAGTTATCTTTAAAGATGTGATAAAGTTATTGAAAAATGAGTCCTTGGGGCACCTGGGTGGCGCAGTCGGTTAAGCGTCCGACTTCAGCCAGGTCACGATCTCGCGGTCCGTGAGTTCGAGCCCCGCGTCGGGCTCTGGGCTGATGGCTCAGAGCCTGGAGCCTGTTTCCGATTCTGTGTCTCCCTCTCTCTCTGCCCCTCCCCCGTTCATGCTCTGTCTCTCTCTGTCCCCAAAATAATAAATAAACGTTAAAAAAAATGAGTCCTTATTTGTTATGTATACATACCGATGTATTTGCTTATGAAAATACATGATTTGCTTTAAATTGGATTTAAAATGGAAACGAGGGGAGGTGAGGGTACAGATAAAACAAGATTGCCATTTTTTTAAATTTAATTTTATTAAAAAATTTTTTTTAACGTTTATGCATTTCTGACAGAGACAGAGCATGAGTGGGGGAGGGGCACAGAGAGAGAGAAAGGGAGACACAGGATCTGAAGCAGGCTTTAGCTGTCTACACAGAGCCTGACATGGGGCTCGAACTCACAAACCCCGAGATTACGACCTGAGCTAAAGTCGGCCACCCAACCAACCGAACCACCCAAGCACCCCTAAATTTAATTTAATTTTGGAGAGAGGGAGAGGGAGAGAGAGAGGGAGAGGGAGAGGGAGAGGGAGAGGGAGAGAGAGAGAGAGAGAGAGAGAGAGAGAGAGAGAGAGAGAGAGAGAGAGAATTTTAAGCAGGCTCGACACAGGGCTTGATCCCACAACCCTGGGATCATGCATGACTGGAGCCGAAATTAAGAGTAGGATGCTTAACTGACTGAGCTACCCAGGTGCCCCAAGATTGCCATATTTTAATAATTGTTGAAGCCAGGTGATAGGTACATGGAGGTTTATTATCTCTACCTTTGTGCATATTTGAAACTTCCCATAAGAAAAAGTTTGCCAGCGTGAGACTCACGAGGAACTTATTTGTCCTCTGTCCTGTTCTTCCAGGCTGTAGTTATGTGCTAACAGGTGCCAATGATTTAAATAGATTGCCCCTCCTATAAGCAAGACCTCTGTGTACTCCTGGAGGCTTCTTGAGACCCGGGACCCTTCACCCATGTGGGATTTCAGGCAGATCTCAGGACTAAGAAAGAAAGCATATTCTCAGGCAAATAAATGTTTTAGGCACTCCTCAAATCAGTTTAACTTTGGGTGGCTGGAACTCCCCCTGAAGACAGTATTCTCTTCTCTGATAATACCCAGTCCAGCCCTAGGTATACAGGGGGACATCCATGAATTCCTGGCGAATTGACTGAAGAAAATTCATTGTTCAGGATGCATTCATTAGCTTACTCTGAAGGTTAAGGAGTGTTCGATTTTAAACTTTGAAATATATCTGTCACCAGAAAGACAGGCAAATAGGCTGCATGTTGCTACACAGATGATGTACTTTGGAAGGTCCTTCTGTTTGCTTGCAGGTTCCCTCCCTTGAATAAAGACTATTAACTCATGCTGCAGCCTGCTGCTCTCTGCTTGGCTTTGGCTATGTCACTAAGCCCAAAATAGAAAGTTCTTTTACTGCAGAGCAGGGAAAGAGGTTTAAATTTATCAATTCAAATAACAAAGGAAAGCATTATACTGGCTCTTCTCTGGGGCGGGGGTGGGGGGGGTGGGGTGGGGGGGGGGTGGGGGGGGGGGGGGGGTAGGGAAGAGATAATGCCTGCTTCATCAAGGAGAAGGAGTGATCTGACACTGGCAGGGGTTGAGACCAAGAGACAAGCTTACACTGTGGTGAGTTGGGCTTGTTTCCCATCCTGGCTCCCCTCATTCCCTCCTTCCAACCATGTCACCTCTTTTAGGACATGGGAAAGCAGCTGAGCCACTGAGGAACCAGTCCCAGAAATGTCACTGAAGTTATCAGACTGGAAACAATTCTCTGAGCCAAACCCCTTCTCTCTTAGCTTTGAAAGGAGTCAGTACCTTGCAACAAAGTTACCCAAAAGGGAGATGTATCTTTTCCTTATCAAATCGTCAAAAATTTTTGATGATCCCTAGGGTTAGAAAGAGTTTGTGGAAATTGGCATTCTTGTGTATTGCTGGAGGGAGGTAGACTGAGCCAATCACCTGGAGAGCAACCTGACAACATGGATCTGTGGTATACCAGAGACTGTGGATCTAGAGGCTCTCTGTTTATAGCTGGTGGGAGTGTAAATTGGGTCTGTAGACAGACTCTTGTACATGTACAACAGGGAACATTTATAGTATAACATTCATAGTAGCAGTGTGAACAAAAGCTAAATCCTAGAAACAATGCACGTACATGGATGAATTTTAGCAAAGTGAATGGAAAAAACAAATCCCAAAAGATGACATACAGCTTGATGTCCTTTTTATAAAGTTAAGGACAGTTCTGAAAATTTACTCTTTAGGAATATATACACATAGAGCAAAACCACATCAAAAGAAAAGGAAATGAACTTACGATTCAGAATGGTTCCCTTGGGTGGGGAACACAGGAAGATGGTGTGGAAAGCCTTATGCTTCAGTATTGGTTATTGCCGAGGCCCTAGCTTTTGTTTTGGGTTGTGGATTGACAGGGACTGAATATGTTATTAAAATTAATGAATTGGGTGCCTGGGTAGCTGAGTTGGTTAAACATACAACTCTTGGTTTCGGCTCAGGTCATGATCTCACAGTTCGAGAGTTTGAGCCCCTCACTGGGCTCCGCACTGACAGTGTGGAGCCTGCTTGGGATTCTCTCTCTACCTCTTTTTCTGCCCCTTCCCTGTTTGTGCTCAATAAATAAACAAACAAACAAACAAACTTTAAAAATAAATTTAAAAAATTAATGAATTTACCACCAAAATTAACAAGATCAGGCCATCCAGTACCAATTATGGGAGTGTCAGAACAAAGGATTATGGTGAATCCAGTTATTTATGCCAGACGTTAAAACAAAACAAAACAAAACAAAAACAGAGTATATATCCTTTGGCACAGTCACTCCATGTCTAAGCATTTATCTTAAGGAATAAATAAAGATGCACACAGACATTTGTGAACAGGACACTTACCATGGTACTTATAAAAATAAGAAACAATTACCAAACTAAGAGATTAGTTACATAAATTGGGCTGCATTGATATGCTTGAAAACTAGGTAGTCTTTTAGAATCATTCTTTTCTGGAGTGTGTGGGTGGCTCAGTCAGTTAAGCGACTGAGTTCAGCTCAGGTCATGATCTCGGTAGTGAGTTTGAGTCCCACATTGGGCTCTGTGCTGACAGCTGGAAGCCTAGAGCCCACTTCGGATTCTGTGTCTCCCTCTTTCTGCCCCTCCCTGACTTACAGTCTCTCTCTCTCTGTCTCAAAAATAAACATTAAGAAAACTTTTTTTAGAAATATTCTTTCCAAGGAGTATTTAACTATATGGGAAAACAGATACATACAGAACAGACACATGCAACATGAACTTTAGTTCACAGTTTTTAATTTCCGATAATATATATCTATGCACACCAAGAAAAGCTGAGAAGGCTATACATCAAAATGATTATAGCCCTCATTTCTGGATCTTATGATTGTTTCTTCCTGAAACTTGCCGGCAGTTCACAAATTTTCTGCAGTGATCATTAATTCTTTTACAGCCAGAAATAGTTTTATTATAAAAATAGTTAATAATAATAGCTAATGTTGATGGAGTACTTGTTATGTACTAGAGCGTTACATGGATTCATTTATTTAAGGCTTAAAATAACCCTACGGGGTTAGGACCCTATGGGGGTCCTATTATGATCCCCATCATATGAATGAAAATACTGATGTTTAGGGGGTTAAATAATTTTGAGGACACAGAAGCCATAAGAAGTTGTGCCTTGAATCAGGCTTGTAGGAGGTTCTTAAAAGGGTGGGCCTGATTGTAGGCTATTGGTCTCCCTGGTGCAGGATGGCTGTACCAGAGACAATGATCTCCCCGCGAGCAACACTGGGAATTGAACAGGCTGATGTAGAACCTGCAATCCACACCCAGAAAGAGGCCCCCAAGGGTTGTCTGAGCCTGAGCCAACACAAGGCAGCCAACCATCAAATGTGGGTTGGGTGTGGGGCACACATAGGAAAGCCAGGAAACCCAGCCTCTAAAGGTTTCTGAAGAGCCCCTGTGGGAGATCCCAGAGCAGAGATGTTTTTACTCATGGCTCTGACTAGCTCTCGTCTCCAGCAGCCACTGTAGGATTGGCCTCTAGAGCCTTTGGTGAAGAGGAGGGTGCTCTAGGGATGGGACAGAGCCAGGACTCAGCCGCGGTCTCTTTTCATCACTCATGCTTTAAATATAAGCTCTGATGTGATCAAGGCGCCAGAGATAAAATGCCTTTCTCAAGCTAAGCAAGCAGGATCGGGTATCCAATTTGGACAAGACAGTGGAAAGTAGACTCAGGGGGAAAAAATCCCTTGGCCTCAACACCAACACACGGGAGCTGAAGAATTTGACACCTTAACATTGTAGAATAAACAAACGTAGGCATAATTTCCTATGTTTTCTTAAAAGCATCTAAAATAGATATGATTTAAGGGGGAGTTCTTGTCTGACTTTAACAGCCAGTTCTTCTCTTCTCAGCTGAGGAATTCTGGATATCCTTTAAGATGTAGCTCAAGCATCAGCTTCTGTGGAAGTACTTCCCAAGCTGCCCCAAGTAACGATGCCGTTCCTCTTCTGTACGTGTTTAATAAATACGTTTACCTGTAGGAATGTCCGTCTTCCACTGCTGGACCATGAGTTCAGTGGACTGTGTTTTATGCGTCTTTGGGTTTTCCCCACTATTCCTGTATTTCTTCCCGTCACCTGTCCTCCACATGCATCTCTATGCCTGTCATGTGGTAAGTGCCAATTAAATGTTGCTTTTGGAACAGAGAGGTATAAAGGCTTGGGGTGTGGTCTTCTAGAATTCTCAGAGCTGGGAATCAAACCCTTTTGTGCATCTAAAATACTTGAGAGAATCTGATAAATGCTAAGAACCTTTCTTTCCCCAGGGAAAAAAGCATATACAAAAGAAAACTCCCAGTTGTACAGCAGTAAGTGCTCTCGCTCTCTTGCTCTCTCTCTCTCTCTCTCTCTCTCTCTCTCTCTCTCACACACACACACACACACACACACACACACACACGAGTGCATGTAAAACTGGGGAAATATGAATGATAGGTAGGTTGTATCAATATCAATATCCCAGTTGTGATATTGTACTCTAGTACTGCAAGAGGTTACCAATGGGAAATCAGGATTTCTTTGTATTATTTCTTACAACCACATGAGAATCTAAAATTGTCTCAATAAAAATTTCAGTAAAAAAGAAAATTCCTATACATTATCCTCTGGGAGTTGGTAAGTCCCCACGAATCCACCTATGAATCCTAAACTAAGAGGTCTCCAGTACAGTCCAATCTCTACGTTGTTATATGGGGAAACTGATGGGTAAAGATGTGCTTAAAGTCATACAGATTGTTGATGGCAGAGGTGAGGATGAGCCCAGCACTCTTTTCCTTACACTGCAACTGGTTTCTGGGAGGCAGAGAGTGCTGTCCATTTGGTATTGTTTACTGGACTAAAAGGCAAAGCTAACCTGGTATTTCCTGTTGTGGAGAGAAAGCAGGAAAATTCATTTTCAGAACTGTTTGGTCTCTTTTTTCTTCTCATGGCTTTCTAAGCTGCCTATGCTCAGCCTATGGATCGGGAAGGATCTCCTTTCCAAAGAAGGTGGCTCAGGGGCTGGCAGGCTTTTTGCTTCTGCATAATAAAGAGCCAAATCAAGCAGGCTGGACAAAGGGAGGAGGAGGAGAGAAAGAGAAGAAAAAGGATGAGGGTACATCAGAGAAAAGAGAGCACAAGGGCATGGTACAAGAAGACAGTAGTGGAGGGGACGAGATGGATGTATTTAGGGAATAGGAGCGATGGGGTGGGCTGGATCACAGGCCACTCACTACTGAGCTGCAACCTGTAAGGACATGGATTATTGGTCTATCCTTGGAGATTGCTAGGCATTGAAAGTGTCAGATGGTTCAGTGGTCAAGATCTTCCATTCATGAAAATCATTTGAGTTTTGATGCTAAAGGCTCTCTAGTAGGACTTCGGACTTTGGGCACTGAAGCCAGACCTCAGCTCCTCTGCTTACTAGTTATTTTACCTTATACAAGTTACTCAGTCCCTTTGTGCCTCAGTTTCATCATCTGTAAAATGAGGATAATAATAGTACCTCACTCAGGAGTTGTGAGGGAGGAGGGATATAATATACGTAAAGTACTGGGAAGAGTACATAAGTGCTTAATAAATGCTGGCCTTATAACTGTTAACTACTTGACAGAGACTCATTTCCTATTCCTTGTTCCTCCAAAGATGGAGAAAACTGATTAACATCCTTCCTTTAAAAACCATCCACCAACCTGTAGGCACTAAATTACCCATGAGTTTTCTCTTTTCTGCACACAATGTCTGTTCCTTCTTTTGTTTGTGGACCTAATTCTATCACCATCCACCACAATTTTTTTTAAAATTTTTTTTAACGTTTATTCATTTTTGAGACAGAGAGAGACAGAGCATGAATGGGGGAAGGTCAGAGAGAGAGGGAGACACAGAATCTGAAACAGGCTCCAGGCTCTGAGCCGTCAGCACAGAGCCCGACACGGGGCTCCAACTCACAGACCGTGAGATCATGACCTGAGCTGAAGTCGGCCGCCCAACCGACTGAGCCACCCAGGCGCCCCACCATCCACCACAATTTAAAGATGAGCATATAAATACCTGGTCATTGTGTGTGTGGGGGGAGGTGGGGTGTCTCCCTGTCTGGTGTGCCTTCTAACAGCTTAGGGAATGAACACTCCTGTCAAGGGAGAGTGTTTCTTTCCATCAGACAGAAGAGCAGTATGGTCCTATCTTCCTATCTTTGCAAATTAATTTCAAAGTACTCCTTAGATGCTTTTGTACTTGCAAATTCATCTGCTTTGGAGAACCTTATTTCTTTTTTGGCGGCGGGGGGGGGGTGTGATTTCTAAATCTTGCCTAGAGTCAAGCTAGAACACTGGTAAACTTGTTAATATGGAAAATATGAACAAAATATAAACAGATTTTCTCTCTGGCTCCCTGCAAAATGCCACCTCATCTTCTACAGCATCTCTGAGAGTCTTTAGGGAATACTCATATGGGCTCACGAACAAGTTCTCCATTCTTACCCCTCTGCTCTGACAGGTGCCAGGTCTCTGTGCTGTTTCACCAGACTCTGAGGTTTTCCTGTTGCTCTTGTAGGCACTCCCAATCAAGAGAGACCTACAACCATCAGAGAAGACTCTTCAGAGAGTGTGGGGCTTGAACTGGTCTTGAATGCCAGGGTTCTTATAGATACAAGTGGCTGTCTGAGGAGAAGGGACATGTTGAGCAAAGGAGAAAGTAGGAATGGAGTGGATGAGTACAGTATTTGTCTGAGAGAGGAAGAGGGCCATCTGAGCCGAAGATAAGATCTTTTAATGAGAGGGAAGGTAGAAGAAAAGGCCATATTGAAATGCCGTGTGAGGAGGCCATGTAAGAGATCCACAGGAAGGTGAGACTTCTTTTCACAAGAAAGTTGGGGCCCTTGAGTAATATTCCAGGGCATAGTGGAATATTTAACATAACTATTGGCTACTTGTTGTTTGGGCCTGTGACTCCCCTAATCATGTTTACTCAGGATATCTGAAGATTTTTTCACAATTATGAGCAATATGTTTTCATTACAGAAGAATCAAGTACATAAAAAAAGAAAAAAAAGAAAAACTCCATTCACCAGAAGCAACTGCTATTAGTACCTCATTGTATAGATTTCTAAAGTCTCATAAACATATACTTATATTTAATAAAATTATGGTACTATCATATATGCTGTTTTATAAGGTATTTGTCACTTAATACTATATTGTGCATAATGTTCCATGTCAATAAACCTATTTCTATGATAAGATTTTTAACACCTGCAAAGTTGGTGACAGTATTTTTAAGGTTTATCCAGCCTTCTGGTAATAAACTTTGCCTTTCATTTCAGAGATTTTATTTTTCCTGTAACAGGGTAAAAAATATTTCCTCTGTAACTGAGAATAGTATCTAGATGGCAGGGACATTACCAAAGGATAATATGGTCATTTCTCTCTCTTTTTTCTTTAGCCAAACTGTAGTAGGTGAGGGAAAGAGCTGTATTATATCTGTGGCAAAATTCCTGGCCACAAAATTTTGGCCACATATATAAAATTCTAATTTCAGGTGAAATGTTAAGTTTAATTGTTCAGAAAACTGCAAAGGAGAAAAACAGGGATAGCTACCAATAAGTTGCAAGTATTTGTGTATCCCGAGTACCAAAATCTTCCAGTAGTTGGGCAGGCCCAGTTGGCCAGAACATGGCAGGCTTCTCACGGGCAGAGGCACTAATGTTGACTAATTAGGTCTTTATGTTGGAATTTCTGGGGCATAAAAGGCCTTGGTGCAAAGTGCATGTTATCAGATATGGCACCCTTTTCAGATAAAAAATTCTGACACAACAGGAACATAAGACTAACCAACTGTATTATTTCTTGAATTTATTCCTCATTGACTTTTTCTCTACACAACAAGCCTTCTGAATGTTTGCACGGTGTCAAGGGAAGAGAGGGGATGTTCTTTTTGTTCCATCTCGACCCTCTTTTCTTGAATCCCCTCCCCCCTCCATCTTCACTTCATCCGATGGCTTTGTGTGTATATGATGTTTTTGATACTGTTATGTTCTGTTTCCATAGCAGGCAATGAAGTGCTCCAACTGGCATTAGGGGATATGTAGGACCAGAGACCACTTAGAACTATTAAAAGTAAGAATATCTCATACTTACTGGACATTTACTATATGCTGTGTTTTACATTCATAATTTCACTGAATTCTCATAAGAACCTTATTATTTGGCAATTATAATTATCCCCACTTTATACATGAGATAACGGAGACTCAGAAAAGTTATGTAACTTGCCAAGCTTCTTAACTAGAATTCAAACCAGGTCCATCTGATTCCAGAGTCATTTCTTACCTATCTGGCTCTACTTTCTGTCTCAGTAAAGCTTAGAAATCAGGCAACTGGAAGGAATAACAACAAAATAAACCTAATGTGAGGCCAAGAGAATTGTTGACAAAACGATGTATCTCATTCTTCCTCCAAGATTTGATGTCAATTTTTATACTTTGGCTAAGAGTACCTATTATCAAGCTATTTGCTCAAGGTCATCTTCCTTCAACCCCACCCCCATCATCAGATGATTTTTTTTTTTTTTTATAGCTATGTTTAAACATCATGGGCAACACTTAGACTTGCTGTATACTGAATTTGCCATCTGAGCAAAGATTTCTTTCTCAAAGCATATTTATTTACTTTCTGGTTTCTGCCAAGCAATTAAAAGGACAATTTTTTTTGGTTTGCTTTTACTTTTTTGTTCCAAGCATTCCTCAGCTCTAGAATTTAGACAGTCAGGCCCACTGAGTCAGGACCAGATCAATCAATCTGAAGTTTCAGATCCGTCGGTGAGTATGAGTTCTGCAGAGTAAGAAAACAATCTAGATTCCTTCTAAAGAAAAACACATTCTGATTTAGTTCTGTATTGTTTATAATCACATATGCTTTACTTCGTGGCTTGAAAGCTAATAAGAGCTTCCTAGAATTCATTGCTTAAGAAGTTAAGTCATGGCATCTAATTATTTGGCAGGATGTTT